TGAGGAGCGTAGGAGGGCAGAGGAGGAGCGGCGAGAAGAGGAGAGAAGGAAGGAACGAGAAGAAGAGGAGAGGAGGCGACAGCGAGCACAGGAGGCAGCCATCAGGGATGCAGAGGAGCGGAAGAGGAAAGAGGAGGAGGAAGACCGGAGGAGACGAGATGAGGAAAAAAAGAAACAAGATGAAGAACGGAGGAGAAAACGGCAAGAAGAGCAGGCTGCTGCTGCAAGGCCGAAAGACGAAAAGCAAAATAATTCAAAATCAGACATTGTTGCTGCACTTCTCAGAGGATTGGAGGAGAGAAAAGGTAAAGAAACATCCAACCACTGGTCACTAAAGTGTACATCACCAAGTACAACATGAATGTCTATGCTTTTATCAGCAATCATTTAATTTACTTTTTAAAGCCAAGAGTAGCTAGAGTATTAAAATAATGCAAGATTTGTTTATATAGGGAAGAGTATTGTGATAAAATGGTCATATGGTACATCGTATGTATGGCAATATTCAGAAAACTTGACATCTATGAACAAGGTGTTTAATAAGACCACGAAAAAAATACATACAAAAATAGATTTTAATGTCCAGTCAGTAACTTGTATATTAAACTTGTTCTTGGACTTGACTTACTGTTGCAATATTGATATCATCATCATCATATTTCCCAGCTTAGTTCCAAATTATATTTCCCATGTTGGGGAAAGCCTAATCTCTAGCCTGTTACTGCATATAACATCATTTTAATTGGTTTTTATTTTACTGTAAAAAGGCAATAAACCAATGTATGTATTATTTGTTAAAAATTCAGTTTAATATTTAAGTAACATTCCTTGCTGTGTGTGAGTATATACAGTCATGTCAAGTATTTGGACAATGACAGTTTTCATGATTTTGCCGCTGGACACCACCACGATGGATTTGAAATGTGGCAATCAAGATGTGATTGAAGTGTAGACTTTCAGCTTTAATTCAAGGGGTTTAACAAAAATATTAAACGTTTAGGAACTACAGCCATTTATTAAATAGTGCCTCAGTTTTCACAGGCTCAAAAGTAATTGGACAGTTGACTGAAAAGGCAGTTTCCTCGTTATTTCATAATAAATTAAGGGGATAAAAGGTCTGGAGTTGATTCCAAGTGTCCAATTTGCATTTGGTACCTGTGCATTGGAACGCTCAATATGCGGTCCAAAGAGGTGTGGATGCAAGTCAAAGCCTACACTTAAGTCGCATCTTGATTGCTTAATTTCAAATCCATTGTGGTGGTGTACCGAGACAAAAATTACCAAAATTGCGTCACCGTCTAAATACTAATGGACCTGACTGTATGTAGTGTCACGACCCGACCAGTCTAGGGTTGGTAAGGCCGGTGACAAGAATAAAAATTAAAGAGTAATTTTACTCCTCCTCTCCTGTCCCAGCTCACAATGACCACAATAATGGCGTTTTCACAAGCTGAAAAGTTTGTTTATTAACTCCTAAATCATCAGTTAGAAGCACATAACTTCAGAAGGGGATCCAGGCCAACATAACAAACCAAAATACAACTAACTTGGGGTTTAGAAAAGTTTAAATTACCTAACCAAAAGAAAATTCCACAAAAGAAATACAAAAGTCTTTCTTTAATTGAAAGAATAACCTAAATAAAAGAGTTGAGAAGCATAACAAGTGCAGATGCCTCCAGAAGCATCCTACCATACATTGTGACATAAATGCTGCGTAGGCACAGCTGATCTCAATATCAGATTAAGATGGCAACAAATACAAAATCTAAATGAGGGTGCATTATGACTGAAACTCCTAAAATCCGTCCTCGCTTGTGCGTGTGATGCTGTTCTCAGGTAACTGAGAATGTCAGTATAGGACTGGATCAGACTGTCAGCAGGAACAGCTTGGAGCAAAAGTCTTTGGAACTCATTAAGTTTTATTTTTATTATTATTAGTAGTAGTAGTAGTATTACTAAATTCTGCCTTAAGTGTTTTCTCTATTAGCATATCAGTGGAACACTCATAATATTTTGCATTTTTTTTTATTTTGCACACACACACACACACACACACACACACACACACACACACACACACTCATTTCCCAGTTCTGGTTTTGGGTATGTGTGTGTCTCATTCTGGGGGAATCTTCTCCTGCTTTCTTTCTTTTCAGGTAATAGACAGCCCCTGGGCAGGTCACACAGGAAATCAGCAGCTCTGACCAAATTTAAAGCACTCTACCCCTTCTCGGCCAGGAGTGAGGAAGAACTCTCTTTTGAAACTGGTGATATAATTGAGGTATTACAAGAAGTTTGTATTATGTGATGACTTCATGAAAAATATATTAGCATCTTCACTAAGACATGTAGTGGCAAGAAGTGTAAGAAATAGAAACTTTGTGGTCATTTCAAACTTTTATTGTTTTAATAGGTGGATGAGACCGTTGAAAGAGAGGAGGGCTGGCTTTATGGAAGTTTTCAGGGGAAAATGGGCTGGTTTCCTGAGAGCTATGTGGAAAAGCAGCACAAGCCAGAGACACCAAGTACTAAAGCAGCTCTTAAACCGCAGGCCTTGCTGTCGAGCTCTCGGTACAGTCTGTAATTTTACATTATTTATAAATATATATGTATGTATGTATACACACACACACACACACACACACACACACACAAACAGACATAGTCGGGTTCACTAGCGAAAATGCTTGTATTTTGCAATCTTTTCTAATTTAATGTAAGAAATTTCATTACAAATTATATTATTGACAACAACTTGAGTGAAAAGTAGAATTGTTGAAATATTTACATGAAATTCGTAAATTCGTTTCTTAATATTTTGGGACGTCCCCTTTTTGCTTTAATGACAGTGTGCACTTGAGCTGGCATGGACTCCACAAGAGCAAAAATTTATGATCCATTTTAGATCAAATCCATGGGCGTGTCGTCTGAACACCTGCTTCAATAGAAGAGATTAGGCTTGAGGAAAATCTGACTTTTTGTGCAAAATATTAAATATTCAAGATATTGAACATTTACTTTCTTTGTTTTTTCTAATATTTCAGAATTCTAATATTCTGCTTCGTTCCAATTTTAAATAAAAAAAAAAAAATCAGCCAATCTAATCATACCTAATATCTAATCAGCATCCAGTCATGTGGCAGCAGCGCAATACATATACAGGTTCACATCAAATATCATATAATGGGAAAAAATGTGACCTCTGTGACTTTAACTGTGGCATTGTTGCTGCTGCTAGATGGGCTGGTTTGAGTATTTCAGAAACTGCTGATCTCCTGGGAATTTCACACACTCTTGAGTTAACACAGAATGGTGTGAAAAAAAAAATGTGTGTAGAGGATCTGCAGGCTGGAACAAGACGTTTCCATCCAGAGAACTGTCATTCACTCATTGTTTTTTGTTTTTTGCACCATTTTGTGTAAAATTTGTAAACTTTTGTGTGTGAAAATCCTAGGAGCAGTTTCTGAAATGCTCAAACCAGCCCATTTGGTACCAACAACATGCCACAGTTAAAGTCTCAGAGATCACACTTTTTCCTTATTCTGATGATTGATGTGAACAGTAACTGAAGCTCTTGACCTGTATCTGCATGATCTTATGGATTGTGCTGCTGCCACATGATTGGCTGATCGGATAACTGCATAAATGAGCAGGTGTACAGGGTATTAAAGTTGACGGTGAGTGTTTTTATATGCAAAATGTATGTATTTTTGTAACTGAGGTCTCAGTAAATGTAAAGAGGTGAACATTCTGGATTTACTGATGTGTTATTGCCAGTGTTATTAATGTGTTTATTACTAATGTCTTATTTCTAGCAATGTTACAGAAGCTTCTGTTCACAGTGGATCAGGCCAGAACTCTGCATTCACCCGTACTTATGCCATGGGCAGCATGTCCACTGAGCACCGTCAGGTATGCTTAATTTGCATAAATATTGAACACAGATTTGTCTGTTTTTCTGTGTGTCTGCAACAAATATATCTGATTTTTTTTAGGTGGTGGGGAAACTGCAGGTTAAAGCTTTGTGTTCTTGGACAGCTAAAACTGACAACCACCTCAATTTCTCCAAGGACGATGTGATCATGGTTCTGGAGCAGCAGGAGAACTGGTGGCTAGGGGAACTGAATGGAATACAGGGCTGGTTTCCTAAAACCTACGTCACGGCCCTGAACAGCAGCGACTTGCCTGCAGAGTAAATTAAAATTAAAATCAAATTATTATTATTATTATTATTTTATTTTATTTTTTTTTTTTTGCAGTAGTCTCATGGAGGATGCATTTTATTTACAAGAATAATATTTAATTAGTTGAAGAGTGAGGAAAAACTAATTACCTAGGAAAGAACAGAAATCCAAATGAGCAATAGGTAAATAAAATAATAAAGTAATGTAAGCCTCATGTAAGTGTTCCAAGTGCTTTGCATGCCTAGAAAAGGGTATTTCTAATTATTTTTTTTACATTTTAATTAAAGTTTTAATTTAATGGTGGTGGGTTTTTTTTTTTTTTTTTGGTTTTTTTTCCTAATAGTAATTTTTTTTTCTCCGTACAGTTCCACTGAGGGATTTGACTCAGCAGCAGCAGATGTCTCTTCCCTTGAGGGTGAGGAAATTAAAAAATGTTTTATAAAATTAAGGCTACAGCAACTGCTAAAAATCAATAATAAAAATAGATATCAGTGAATTTTATTTTTGATAAGGTGTATTATGAAGCATGCTGTCGCTCGCTATGTCACTTCATTCAAAACAGTATTCTCAAGTATGGGAATGCGGTTCGCACAGGTCCTTGAAGTGCTTAAATTCTGATTTTTAAGGCCTGGAATACCTAGAAAATCAGTATTTTCATTCAAAAGTCCTTGAAATGTTGTTGATCCTTTGGGTGGTCCCAGTAGGGGTTGACAAGATGGATCACCTTCCATTGATTTGGCCCTTCCTGACGCAACCCTCCCCATTTATTCAGGCGCTGAGAATGCACTAGCCTACGCACCGCCAGTGGCTGTAGTTGCCGCCCAGAGTGGGGCTCAAACCCACGATCCTGAAATCAAGGGTCCCAGGCTTTACCAGCTGAGCTATGGGTGGGGAGTAGCCCCCATACATAAAACACATTTTTTATGTGCAGTTTCTTTTTTTTTTTTAAACTGGATGCAGCTATAAATTTTTTGTTTGTTTATTGCTCATAATGCAGAAAATTATCAAATGTCATGTGGGAAAATATTCATTTGCTTTTTCCTGCTTATACTACTTTTATGCTCTTGCAAAGCTCTGAAAATAATCTGCGTCTATCCACTTTGTTCTCAAGTCCGTACAGGACCTCTACCCTAATTAATGCATGTGTATGTACTGCATATACTTGTACCTCTATTTTTGTATGTGCACATACATATGTGTGTTTATTCTTTTTTTTAGAATATGTGGCTCTCTATACTTACGAAAGCCCTGAACCTGGAGATTTGACCTTCACTGAGGGAGACACCATCCTCGTGTCACAGAGAGAAGGAGAGTGGTGGAGAGGCAGCATAGGAGACCGTTCTGGACTCTTTCCCTCCAACTATGTTAAACCCAAGGAAACTGATGTAACTTACTCTGTGTAATTTTAAGAGATATTGCAACTTGTTTTTTCTTCTGCTCTTTTAACAAACTATGTTACCTCTTTGTAGAATTCAGTCCTCAAACCTGGCGTGCTTGGGAAAAAGCCAGGTAAATTCCATCTCATTTCTGCACCTCAACTAAATCAGTAGTTTATTAAGCTGTTGTAAATATGCTTATTGCCTTTATTATTTAAAGTCAAGACTAAAAATGCTATTAATAATAGAAAATCAGAACTATATTATCTGCTCTTTGAAGTTCTGTTAAGTCTGTTGTGTATAGTGACTAGAGTGACTCTGCCTTTCTATGTTGCAGAGGTAGCTCAGGTGACCAGGGCATATACGGCTTCAGGGACAGGACAACTGAATCTGTCTCCTGGTCAGCTCATCGTCATACTTAGTAAAAACCACTCTGGCTGGTGGCTGGGAGAACTGCAGGTCAGGATGTTAGCAAAACTACTAAAGTTCAGCTAAAAGTCAGATATCATGCAAGTGATATTCTGAAAGGAGTACAAACAACCACATTGGCAAATAAAACAAAAAGCTCATCACTCAAATTGTACCAGGAAAATAGGATGCTTTAATTGCCAGTGTGGGTGTTGAGATTAAACATCTGTCAACTTCACTGTTTAGTTATTATGCAGCCTTGTTTCATCTGTTTAGCTGTCAACAAGAAAAAACTGCCACGCAAACTTTTATTTAACAACCCCCTTTGCATTTCCTATGTCTGCTAGAATGCATAGTACCAGCAGAAGCACATAGGCTACCTGTATGTCTGATTTCACAATCTTGCTTATCATGCAAAATTAAATTGTAAAATAATTTTAGGAATTTACTGTCTTTTCTTTTTTAGAATTAAGTGACTCAATTGAAAATATTTTATTTGTCACTGATATTTGGGAGAAACAACAAGTAGATTCAAGTAATACAACCAGTAATTGTGAAATGATGCTATCCTTGAAATAACATTGATGTGAAAATGTAAGGTACTTGTTTAGCTATTTGGCAATATTTAGATTTTAGGCCCAGTTACCAAGGTAAGTCAGAGGATACAACTGAAACTACAGTGAAAATATAAGATTCTTAAAGATTTAATCTCATGTTATGATACACCATTATTCAGAAAACCATCTCTTCTACCCTGCTTTCCAGAGGCAGAGTCTCTACAAATGCATATTATCATTTGATAATTAGCCAGAATAATACATGCTAACCCTGAATGGTGCTGACAAACACAGGTTGGATTGTTGTAACATGTTGCTGGCTGGCTGCCCATTATATCTAGTTCGGAGTGCAGCAGCCTACGTTCTTAACAGGAAACGTAAGACATTTACTGAAGCCACAGTGTGTAAAGCTGCATTGTGTAAAGTCCTGTATTGAATAGAAAATCCTGCTCATGACATTTAAAGCTCTAAATAGTTCCAGCATATCTTCTGAAGCAGTATAGTACTTTGCTTTGCTGGTATTCTTGAGGATCGCTCACAGCACAGCTGATGGATAATGTGTTTTTACATCGCACCCAAACTCTGGAATAGTTTTCCAGAGTTATAATAGTGGAATAGTGGTGTCCATTCCTAATCTAATTGAGACCATTAGGAATGAAATCTCATTACATGTTTTTAAATCCATATTATTAATGAATATTAAACTGACACATGTATAGTTTCTGGGTCTTAGTCTATCTTGTTAAGTCTAAAGATGCAGCATCATAAATACATTCATGGAACCAAAACACTGATTTAATTAATACTTATAAATCGGTGTATAATGCATTATAAGCATGGGCATTGACAAATCAATGCATCACTTGTAAGTAATTATAAATGGGGCTTTAATGCATTATGAACATGGGCTTCATAGAAAGTGTTAGCGGAAACTTTTTATGATTTATACTAATTCTTCTAGATTGCGACATTGTATACTGTATTATTAGTATTCCTTACCATATATACTTTCTTTTTCTTTTATATGTTAATCACATTCAGATTTTTTTAATTAATTAAGGCAGTTATCACTTGTCAAGGATCATGAAGTTGATTACTTTCTGTCTTTGCTCTGTGCTTTTTTTTTTTTTTTTTTTTTTTTTTTTTTTTTTTTTTTTTTTTTTTTTTTTTTTTTTTTTTTTTTTTTTTTTTTTTTTTTTTTTTTTTTTTTTTTTTTTTTTTTTTTGGCCTGCTGAACATGTTTCAGGCCCGGGGTAAGAAGCGACAGAAGGGCTGGTTTCCAGGGTCTCACGTTAAGCAGCTGGGCTCAAATAGCGGCAAGTCCACACCTGCGATGGTAGCAGGTAAATGAGGCTTTACCACTTTCCCTAGCATTACTTCTCTGTTTCCAGCTCTTACCCTGCCTTTCCCTAACCCACCTTTTAACTTGCCTCACATCATTCCTTCCACCTTCTCTCAGCTGGTCAGGTTATTGCCATATATGACTACACAGCAGCAAACCAGGACGAGCTCAGCTTCTCCAAGGGTCAAATCATCAATGTGCTGGATAAGAGCGATCCTGACTGGTGGAAAGGAGAAATCAGTGGTGTCACAGGCCTTATCCCCACCAATTATGTGAAAATGACCACCTCTGAATCTGACCCTAGCCAGCAGTGTAAGTAGTTGGAGCAGTTTCTTTTCATACCAATGTTCTCAAGGCTGGCAATGCACTCATTTTACTTACTACATTCTATGATGAACAAATTTATTAGAAATCATTAGCTTAAGATTTGTAATTTGTTTAGTTAATTTCTTATAGTTTGTGGTAAGAGGAATATTGTATAACAAGACAAAAAACATTCCAAATGAGAAGGGTGTTGCATATGGTGAATGCAGTGTACTGTACTTGGGGATTTTGAGCAAGATGTGTGATTTCATAGTGGTACTGCTGCTTTCAGTCTTTTTCTTAACTATAATGTCTAAAAATTTCATTTTAATTTTATGGTATTTGAATTAAGTGTATTTCAAAACATAAAAAAAAAAAAAAAAAAAATCACAGCAAGGGGAAAGACCTAACTGACATTCATTTTCTTTTCTCATTTTTTTGTATCTAGCTTCTCAGACTTGGTTTTACTTTGGCTTCTCTCTTCTGTTTCTGTAGGGTGGTAACACCTCTCCTTCTCTTCATCTTTCAGAGACCCACTATCTCCCCTCACAGATGAGACCCATTTATCATAAACCAAGACCATTTACTAATTCTGCATCCCATACCACTACACAGATCTTACCCTAACCTACCTAGCTCAAGTAACTACTCCTTTTACATTTTATTTGGCTGAAGGCAGTGGTGGTACACAGTAGCATGATTGATATTAACTTCTGCCTAATGGAGATTTGGTGCAGTATATGCATTATATTTATATTTATTCATTTGGCAGATGATTTTATACAAGTGACTTCCTCTTATGGGAATACAGTCAGAGTATACAGTGCATCCGGAAAGTATTCACAGCACTTCACTTTTTGCACATTTTGTTATGTTACAGCCTTATTCCAAAATGGATTGAATTCATTATTTTCCTCAAAATTCTACAAACAATACCCCATAATGACAACGTGAAAGAAGTTTGTTTGAAATCTTTGCAAATTTATTGAAAATAAAAAATGAAAAAAATCACGTTCATAAGTATTCACAGACTTTGATCATCCTTGAGATGTTTCTACAACTTGATTGGAGTCCACCTGTGGTAAATTCAGTTGATTGGACATAATTTGGAACGGCACACACCTGTCTATATAAGGTCCCACAGTTAACAGTGAATGTGAGAGCACAAACCAAGCCATGAAGTCCAAGGAATTGTCTGTAGACCTCTGAGACAGGATTGTATCGAGGCACAGATCTGGGGAAGGGTACAGACAAATTTCTGCAGCATTGAAGGTTCCAATGAGCACAGTGGCCTCCATCATCCGTAAATGGAAGAAGTTTGGAACCACCGGGACTCTTCCTAGAGTGGGCTGCCCGGCCAAACTGAGCGATCAGGGGAGGAGAAGGGCTTTAGTCAGGGAAGAGACCAAGAACCCGATGGTCACTCTAACAGAGCGTTTCTCTGTGGAGAGAGGAGAACCTTCCAGAAGAACAACCCTCTCTGCAGCACTCCACCAATCAGGCATGTATGGTAGAGTGGTCAGACGGAAGCCACTCCTCAGTAAAAGGCAAATGATGGCCTGCCTGGAGTTTGCCAAAAGGCACCTGAAGGACTCTCAGACCATGAGAAACCAAATTCTCTTGAACTCTTTGGCCTGAATAGCAAGCGTCATGTCTGGAGGAAACCAGGCACCGCTCATCACCTGGCCAATACCATCCCTACAGTGAAGCATGGTGGTGGCAGCATCATGCTGTGGGGATGTTTTTCAGTGGCAGGAACTGGGAGACTAGTCAGGATCAAGGGAAAGATGAATGCAGCAATGTACAGAGACATGCTCCAGAGTGCTCTGGACCTCAGACTTGGGTGAAGGTTCATCTTCTAACAGGACAATGACCCTTAATTTTAATGATGATTAGAAAGTGATT